TATGGCTATAAAATTCCTCTCAGGACTGCCTTTGCTGTGTCCCATAGGTTCCAGTAGGTTGTGTTTTCATTTTCATTGACTTCCAGGAACTTTTTAATTTCCTCTTTTATTTCATCAATGACCCATTGTTCATTAAGCAATGAGTTATTCGGTTTCCAGCTCTTTGCATGTTTTTTGTCTTTACTTTTGTTCAGTTCTAGTTTTATTGCACTGTGATCAGATAGAATGCATGGTATAATTTCTGTTTTCTTATATTTGCTGAGGCTTGCTTTTTGCCCTAGGATATGATCTGTTTTGGAGAAGGTTCCATGGGCTGCTGAGAAGAATGTATATTGTGTAGAAGTTGGATAAAATGTTCTGTAGATATCAACTAGGTCCATTTGATCTATTGTATATTTTAGATCTAGGATTTCTTTATTAATTTTTTGTTTGGATGACCTATCTATTGATGGAAATTGGGGTTTAAGTCTCCCACGACCACTGTGTTAGAGTTAATATATGCTCTTAGGTCTTTCAGGGTATGTTTGATGAAATTGGGTGCATTGACATTGGGTGCATATAGGTTGATCATTTTATTTCCTTTTGATCTATTTCCCCTTTTATTAGTATGGAATGTCCTTCTATATGACGTTTGATCAATGTAGGTTTGAAGTCTACTTTGTCAGAGAAAAGTATTTCTCCTCCTGCCTGTTTTGGGGGGCCATTGGCTTGGTAAATCTTCTTCCAGCCTTTCATCCTAAGCCTATGCTTACTTCTGTGAGTAACAGGGGTCTCCTGTAAGCAACAAATTGTTGGATCTTCCTTTTTAATCCATCTTGTCAAACGGTGCCTTTTGATGGGTGAATGAAGTCCATTTACATTAAGTGTTAGTACTGATAGGTGTGTGGTGATCCCTGTCATTTAGTTGTCTTAGTTTTTTGAAGGTTTGATTGTGTGTACCTAAGTTGAGGTTACTCTCTACTTTCTTGCGTTTTCTTTTCCTGTGGTTTGGTGCTGCCTGTCCTTTCATGGTTATGTTGGGTTTCACTTTCTCTGTGCAGAATCCCTTGAAGAATCTTTTGTAGTTGGTGGCTTTGTGGTCACATGTTGTTTTAGTTTCTGCTTATCATGGAAGACTTTTATTGCTCCATCTATTTTGAATGGTAGTTTTGCTGGGTAGAGTATCCTGGGGTTGAAGTGATTTTCATTCAGTGCCTGGAAAATCTCACCCCACGCTCTTCTTGCTTTTAATGTTTCTGTTGAGAAGTCTGCTGTGATTTTGATGGGTTTACCTTTGTATGTTGGTTGTTTTTTTCTCTCTTACAGCCTTCAATATCCTTTCCCTAGTTTCTGTACTTGTTGTTTTAATGATTTTTTTCATTTTTTTTAAGCAGCACTGAGGTTTGAACTTAGGGCCTTGTGCTTGCCAGGCAGGTACTCTACCACTTGAGCCACACTCCCAGCCTCCCTTGTCGTTTTAATGATGATATGCCGTGGGGTAGGTCTATTTTGGTCTGGTCTGTTTGTTGTTCTGGAGGCCTCTTGCATCTGTATGGGAATATCTTTCTCTAGATTTGGGAAATTTTCTGTTATTATTTTGTTGAATATATTAAGCATTCCCTTTGCTTGCACCTCTTCTCCTTCTTCAATGCCCTTGATTCTCAGGTTTGGTCTTTTGATGGCGTTGGTGAGTTCTTGCATTTTCTTTTCACAGGTCTTGAGTTGTTTAATTAATAGTTCTTCAGTTTTTCCTTTAATTACCATTTCATCTTTGAGTTCTGAGATTCTGTCTTCTGTTTGTTCTGTTCTGCTGGATTGGCCTTCCGTTTTGTTTTGCAATTCTGTCTCGTTCTTTTTTCTGAGATTTTCCATATCCTGGGTCGTTTCCTCTTTAATGTTGTCTATTTTTGTCCTGAGTTCATTTATCTCTTTATTAATCGTGTTCTCTGTTTCACTTTGTTGTTTATACAGTGCTTCTATGGTTTCCTTTATTTCTTCTTTTGCTTTTTCAAATTCTCTATTTTTGTTGACTTGGCATTTCTTGAGTGTCTCCTGTACATTTTGGTTGACCTTATCCATTATCATCTCTATAAAATTCTCATTGAGTACCTGTAGTATGTCTTCTTTTAAATTATTCTTATGAGCTTCATTGGGTTCTTTGGCATAGTTTATCTTCATTTTGTTGGAATCTGGATCTGAGTATCTGTTTTCTTCATTCCCCTCTGGTTCCTGTACTAATTTTTTGCTGTGGGGAAGCTGATTTCCCTGTTTTTTCTGTCTTCCCGTCATTGTTCTTGGTGTTGTTACTGTCCCTGTACTGTGTGCAATTAAGTATTTTCTAGCTTGTAATAATAACAATGGTGATATTTAGAATGGAAGGTTGAGAGGAGATGGACAGCAAAGAAGTTAAAGGATAAGGGAAAAACAAATAACAGTAGAAAAACAAAACAAAACAAAGAAACAAACAAAAAAGTTTCAAAGATATAAACAGGGAGAGACAGTGTACTATTTAACCATAAGCTGAAAGGCATTAGAGAGACAGAGAGAGCATTGAAAATAAAAAATAAAAAAATAAAAATAAAAATAAAGAATAAATAAATGAAATAAATATATATATATAAAATAAAAATTAAAATTAAAAAAATAAAGCAAAAAATAAAAAAAATCTCCAAGTTCAAATGTAATTTTGGTGTTCGTCCCTCAGCCTCCAATCCTGGCGATGGTGCCTCAGATGTTGTTCTGTAGTTGTCTTATCAAAGGGGAAAAATAAAATAAAACAGAACCGTACCAAACAAAGAAAACCACAAAGTGTCCCAAGTTCAAAGCTTACAGGTGTAATTCGGTTGTTCTCTCATCAAAGGTAGGGAGAAAAAGAGAAAAAAAAAAAAAAAGAGTCTGGAGATGGTTCTGAGAATGGTATCTGCAGCTGTGGTTTGCCTGCCTGCTGCTGTCAGCCTGCTGTTGCTGGCGGTGTTATTTATGCAGATCTCAGGGGTGAGCTTAGCACTCACCTGGCCCCTCAGGCTTTGTTTGCTCAGAGTTCTCCTGTGCGGGGGAGGGGAGCCTCTGCTACAGGCTTTCCCCTTTCCAAGCACTGGGAAAGGTGACACTGCACCCGCGTTGTCAGGCCTGCGTGTTTATTTACAGTTCACGTGGGAGGTGGGTCTTCCCCCCTCTCCTGTGCAGTTTTCCTCTCCGCTGCTTTTACAAGCTTTCCCACTCCTCGTTGCTGGGCCGTGCTGCTGCTCCTGCCTTCTCCAGCCGGCTTGTTTATTTACAGCTCTGTGAGAGATTCCCCTCACCCCCCATCCCCCGTGCTCAGGGCTCCCCGCCCTCTTTGCTACACGTCTTTTCTGTTGTTGCTTATTATTCAGTTTTTTTTCTTTTTCCCCTGGGTGGGGGTCGGTCTGTCCAGGGGGCTATGCTGCTCTGGCCCAGGCTTGTCTGTGGGAGAACCGTGTACCGCTTAGCTCACCTGGTCCGCGTCTTCCCAAGCCGTCTTGGCACTGCCGTCTGGTGGTGGCACGGGAGCCCTCCTGGTTTCTCCGTTTAACGTGAAGTGGAGATGCTCTGCGCAGCCTGGAGGTGTGGAGGGGTCAAAGTTTTGCCTCTTCTCGGTGGTTTTTCCTGTAAGGTGTATCTCCAGTGTCTCTCCAAGATTTTACTTCAGGAGGCACGCTTTCTGCTTCCTCCCTGTAGCCGCCATCTTGGAATCCTTCAATCCTTTTTATTTTTTATGTTTTTATTCCCCATCCCCCATTCCTGGAATAGTTTCAACAGGTTTCATTTTTCCATTTCATACATGAGTACATAATATTTAAACCTTTTTTAAAATAACTATTTAAATATATTTCCACTTGCATTGTACTTAATAGAAAATATTCCTTAAGCACAGTTCTAACTGTACTATGTATTTGGGAATTTAAGTCTTTTGAACTTAATTTTAGTCCTTTCTAATAGTGAGTCACTGAAAGCTGCCAGGTTTCAATCAAAGCACTCCTTTCTCCCTATTGACTTAGCCAAGAAGCTCAAGTTTGTAGGGTTTGTTTTCTTGTGATTATAAGGTATTTGAAGGAAGACTTTTCTGATAGTAAGAAACTTGAAAACCACTTAACTGTAAGGTAATATATCCATTTAACACAGTTCTCACCCTTAGTGCTACCTTAGTAATTGCAAGTATTATCAGGAACATGTTTGGGTGAAGAGGGTACCTGACACTTACTGTCAAAGGCTTTCACCTTGAAGTTTCTCCATTTAACATAAAAGCAAAGGGTAGAGAGAAGTTACCTGAACCTTAATGCTTTTGAAATGGATACCTAATCAGTCATGATTCTACTATGTCAAAACATTGCCTGCAAACCCTAGATGAACTACTTAGTTTGGCAATTCTTATTTCATAGAAAATAATTTAAAAATATGATTGGATTTTGTCAAAATAAATGATCCTGATGTTTTCGAAAATGGACTTATTTTTTAAAAACTGCTCTCCCACTGAGTCATTTGAGAGGGAAAGATCACCAAGATTTGTCATGATTTTGCAGAGGACAGCAAATTTTCAAAAGTATTCTGAATCTATAATTCCAGTTTAAGCGATGTGAGTATTAAGTCTTAAAAATATAATGTTCTAAAAAAGAAGTAATGAAGATGAAAAATTTCACCAAATCACTTAACTCTTGGCTGCTGGTCTTATCTGAAGAGAGTGTGGTCCAGCACTGATTTATGAAACAATAAATAGGTCCTAAGTCTAGTGACAGGATCCATCTTTTTCTCATCTTGTTTTCTACATATCAAAATAGTAGGCTCTCTTGAGTTTTCTGTGCCTGTACCTTTACTCAGTCCTACTTTAAGCTGTGCCCTGTGTGTTTGGGAACTTAAGAGGTAATTCCCCCTCCTGCACTGTACCTGTCCAGTTTTATGTCTCTTCATGGACATGGCTCCCAGACTTCCCGTGGCTGTGACTCAATGTCTAAGTGTCTTTTGTACAGGAGAGCCCATAAAACACATACTTTTCTTCTTCCTAGAGTCTCTGTGTGTTCATACCACCTGGAATAAAGGGAGGACAGCCCAGGCTCATCCCTGCTGGGCCTATCACCCAGGGCACCACCATCTCTGCTTATGTGGCCAAGTCCAGAAAAACGCTGCTTGTAGAAGACATCCTTGGGGTAAAGGGCTTTTGATTCCATGAAGACTTTAACTGAAGTAGTTACTTAAGAAAGATGATTTGTCATTTTGCTCTTACAGTCTAAGCCGTTTCATAAAGCATAAAAATCATTAAAGCAAGATACAGATCGATTAAGTGACTCTGTATGTAAGAGTCAGTAAGAGCTGGATTTGAAGAGCTCTTATTTCAACATGTGCCAAAATGGTTAAATAGATAGATACAGATAAATTCACATGCACACACACACACACACACACACACACACTTTTGTATTCATGCAAACTAAATGATTTCTGTTTCATATTTCAAGTCCTGCCAGGATGTACGTGAATGAGTGAGCTATTGTTATATGACAAACTACCCCAGATTTTGTAGGTATCATATGGTAGCTGCTTGGTATTTCTGATGAGTCAAAGTGCTGGCCAGCTGTGCTGATTGGGACAACAGCCAGCGAGGCCTGCTATAGACTGAGGTCTGCTGGCCATCAGTTGATGTCAGCTAGTCTCCGATGGCCTCTTCTCTCCATGTGTCTTGCACTCCCAACCCAGAAGGCTAGCCTGGCAGGGTCTTGTGATGTTGGAAGGAGCCTAAGAGGGAAGAGGAGAGGTGAGGTTCAAGCCTTTGCTTACATCACGTTTACTGTCCTCCCATTAGGCAGAGCAGATCACATGGTGAAGCCTGGACAGGGCTACAGAGAGACATGACAAAGTGGAGCCCTTTGTGCTGTGTTTCACAGTGTATACAAGCAGACATTTGAATGAAATGTCACTAGAACAGACTTTAACAGGGACAAGTACAAACAAATATATAGATAAAAGGAATTTTCTCTATAAAAGCACTAGAGTGGATTCTTGAAATCTATTTTTTAAAAAATTATTTAACTTTGAACAAATCGGGTACTAGTTACTTTATAGAAAAAAGACAGAAAAAGAGAGTGAGGAGGAACAGAAAGGGTAAAAGTAGATGTTACAAACGTTCTTGTTTGAAAATGTTCTACTGTGTACGGAGGCTTTCAAAAGATCTGTAAATTACAAGTATAGAGTTACACTATTCTTGACTCATGAAAAATTCTAATTCGTTATCTAATAGCTTCCTACAGATAGTAGAAACTGAATAAATAGAATTGGTGTTTTTGATTTTGTCATTTTATTTCTCTACACTTCCTTTGAGTGATTTTGCTGTAATAGAAATTATTAAAGTCAAAGAAACAATTTCCATTCTTATGATAAATAATTGATAATTATAAGATGATTGAGGTTCAATTAGAATGACTGTTAACATTCCCTTTTGTGTTATTTTAACTTTAAAAATAGAAAAGAAGACATGTCTCTGTATGCTTTCCTTCATGCGGTGTTTGGATTTAGAGGGGTTTTCTTGATCACATTGTATCTGTGGGGCTGAGGATGGCTCTGGCAGAGAAGGCAGGGGATAAATGTCAGCTTCTATGAAGATTTTGCATGAAATTAACATACTCCATTCATTATTAAGAGCTATTAAGGCAGTATTGGAGTACGGGTCCCATATTGCTGAAAACAAGCATTTTTAAACAAGATTTGTATAACCATCGTCATTTGGTTTTCTTCTGACAAGGACTGCCCATGTTCAATTACACATCTCAAGCCAATTTCTGAAAGAAGTGAGAACTATTACATGACAATTCTGTTTCTTTTATGTAACGTATGCCTCTCCCCTTTACTTTCAGGATGAGCGATTTCCAAGAGGTACTGGACTGGAATCGGGGACTCGGATCCAGTCTGTTCTTTGCTTGCCTATTGTCACTGCGATTGGGGACTTGATTGGTATTCTGGAGCTGTATCGGCACTGGGGCAAGGAAGCCTTCTGTCTCAGTCACCAGGAGGTGAGGTCGGAAGGCGCCCTTGATAGCACCTGTCAGGATTAAGTGCATACCCCAATGAGGACTTGAAGTCATAGTTTTGATCCTAATGCCCATGATTTTGAAAACTTCTTTTGTGTGGCAGTTGTTTATAGCAGAACCGATTAAATTAGAAATACAGTTTTTTCCCTGAAAGGAAGCATCTTTACAGTAAAGAGTATGCCATAGTGTGGATCAGGTAAAGCAGCGGGACCGCTTTTATACTCTGGCTGTCTTTATACCTTCTTAGAAGTGTCCTCCTCCTAGACTGGGTCCTGAGCAAAGTGTCTGGTGTCAAAGACACTAGGAAGGTGTGTTCTCCATGCTGTTCATGGAAGTGGAGTATGATCATTTGTACTGAACCCAAACTCTAAAATGAGCTATCCCTCACTTCCAGTACTGACGAGGTCCCTGCAGTGGCCTAGCCTGATCCACTTGCCTCTTGCTACTCCACACCACACCCCTTGCTACTCCAGCTGATCCTCACCCCTCCTCCACTCTGGACCCTTGGGAGTGGCTGATGGCTTCTGTTCAGAGGCCTGTGCTCTGCTCTTCCTCCCATGTGGAGACCTGTCCTGTTACCTCCTTGGGAGGCACCTCAAGGTGTCCCCTTCTCTGAGGGTGCCTGCCCTGAGCACTTACTGCACACATTTATCCAGGGCTTCTTGTCCTCTGTCCTGCTCCTTTTCACCATGGCACCTGTCACTAACTAGTATATTCCACAGGACCCTTCCTTCCTTCCTTCCTTGTCCTGCTGTCTCCCCACAGGACGCTGAAAGCTGTTCCAGTTTTGCTGTGGAGGTGTTTACTGCTCTGTCTCCTGCAGCTAAAACAGTTCCTGGCCTCCAGCAAATATTTATTAAATGGACAACTAGTAAAAGGAACAGATAGTTAAAAAATTGAGAACCTGTCAGATAGCATATGCATAAGATTTTTAGTTCTTAGAAATACCACACAGTGATCATCTCAGGCCTTTTTAATAGAACTTTTTGTTAAACTGAAAAACAATGATTTTGTGTTAAAACAAGAAATAGCATTAAAATCAGTTAGATAGATTGGGGGATGCGAAAAGGAAGTTTGTTAATTTTTGGCACTTTGGGTTTGGCAAAATACTCAGCATAATGACCTGAAAATTCTTCATGTGGGAATGCCTCATGTAACTCCTAAATACTTGTTTTAAATACTCATATGGGCTGTGTTTTTTAGGTTGCAACAGCCAATCTTGCCTGGGCTTCAGTAGCAATACATCAGGTACAGGTGAGTCTTCGCAGCTTTGGGGTGTTTTATAGGGCCTTCCTAAGAAAGAACAGAAATTTTGAGTACAGCCTCAGGGACTGGAGTAGAGGTTAGTAAGTAAACACATTCTTTTTTTTTTTTTTTTTTTGATATTGTACTATTTTGTTATTTCTAAAGTCTTTTATTTAAACTCCTGTATTTATTTACCCTCTCTCTTAAATATCTTACAATTAACACATACATGTAAAAGAGTCTCTCTCTCCCTCCTTCTCTCTCTCACCCCCTTCTCTTTCTCTCTCTCTCTCTCTCTCTCCCCCCTTCTCTCTCTCTTCCCCCTATCTCTCTCTCTCTCTCCCCCCTCACTCCCCCTCCTTCTTTCTTTCTCTCTCCCCCCCCTTTCTCTCTCTCTCTGGTTGCATTTCAGGAGCCTCGTGTTGATGAGTTGCTGTGTGATAGGAAGGAAAGTGGAATTATAGGATAATAACCTGGGCCATCAAGTGTAGGTGGAATATGTATAACCCCAGTTCTTTTACAGTATGCAGTAATTTTGAAGAGTAGTTTGGGGTAGACCTCAGGTTTGAGTGCTGGGTCTAATACTGGATCTTGAGTAAAGATCTCAACTCCTTTCTGCCTCAGTTACCAAGTATAAACCCAAATCCAGGGGGGGGTGTGATAATTAAGTGAGATAATAAATAGAAGATGCTTAGAACAGTGTTTAGCACATTTAAGTACTCAACAAATATTAACAGTTATTGATACTTTTATTACATTATAGGCCAAGTGATTGTGTTATTAATCATACTCTGTAAGTTTTATTCTTAAATAAGCATTATAACTAATAGTCATGACTTTTTACATGGCAGGTGTGCAGAGGTCTTGCCAAACAGACGGAATTGAATGACTTTCTACTGGATGTATCAAAGTGAGTGCTCATTTCTAGGGCTGCAGGAGCCCTTCCCTGATGGAGACAGATGCTCTCTGCTGTAGCCAATAACTGGAGGTCAATCTCCAGTTATTAAACAAGGAAGAGCAATTAGTCATGCTTCAGATTGTAGAATTAGATTATCCTCCATGTTCACTTTATAAGTGAGAGATTCCTGATGTACATGGATGGTCTTAATTTTCAATTTGACGTTCACTTAGTAAACAGGCTTTTAGAACATGTTAAAGACACTAAGTATTTTTTCCAAAATGTCTTCTCTGTCATTTTCTCACAATGTCAGTTTAAGGAATATTATTAGTGTGACTTTAACTTTTCTGTATATGGTATCTCAGATATCTTTTTGAGTGAAAATCTCCCCTGGGCTGGTAGAGAGAGCAATTATAGATATTTTTCAAATTCTGGGTTCATATTGGTTTTGCTTGCTAAGGGGAGATCTTTCCTGTACCTGTTTGCTGTACCAGTTTAATAACTGTCCTATTTAACACTGAGACCTAAAAAAAGCTGCAGGCCCAATGACTTGGGGTCCTGTCCCATCTGTTTACTAAAGAAGAGCGAACATGTTCACTCCTGGCCACAGCAGCTCTGATGGGTACTGTGTCCAGCTCTGAGGCGGCACTCTGTAATTACCTGTGAGCAAATATTTGAATCTTCATGAATAATTAGTCTGCAGTTGCTAGTTCATGTTGCACTTGGTGTTTGACACACACACACACACAAAAAAAAAAACTAGAGAAATGTGGAGTTGAAGAAGGTCCCTTTGGTCACCAAAAGCAATTAACTTCTTTCAAACAATCAAACACAGTGTCTCTAGGACATATGATTGTATTACTTCAAAACACATAGAAAGTTGTGCACTTTCTCTGGCTAGTGTATTTGTGTATTTTGTAAATGCCCCAAAGTCAGCTAAAGATCTCAGGTGACAGTTACTCCCTCTTACTTCCTTCATCATTTTCCTTATGTAGTGGACAGTGCACTGAAGTGTGTTGTATGTCTCAGTGGTTTTAAGCTAACTGATTTGTCTTTTTTAAAAGCTCATTGTTTATCAGTGTAAGTTTTCCCATTTGTGAGAACATTGTTAAGTTTGCATGAACCTAAACTGAAAGCTGTACACAGCCAGTCAGTCCCATGTTAAGAGCACTTTTTTACATTTTTCTATTAATATGTGCCTGTTGATTCAGTTCAGGGGGTTTGCAGCTAACATACATGATATACCTCCAAAACTTTTACTTGCCATTTATAATACTGAGAATCCATTTTACTTAAGTAATTAGGTCTTATTAATACTTGTATTCTGACATTTCTTCTCAAATGAATTACATTGCTTTCTTGATACAATTAAACTTGACTATTTTCAATTATTCAGTTATAATTTATATTTTAAACATATTGATGAGATGTAGCCAATTTAAATATCTTTATTTCAGATCAGAGTTATTGATGAGAATATTAAGTACAATGAACCCAATTTTAGTCTTACATAGCTTTCATTAAATGCTATAACCTTTTCTGTACTTTGGAAATGAGCAATAAAATAATTACCGAATGCATCCTCTGGAATTAGAGCCCTGGTATTAGGGCAATGACAAAGTTTTGTTTATTTCTTTAAAACAATATTGGTGGTTTCCACAACAGGACAAAAAATAAGATGATATCTTTATGTTATTTGGATGTACACAAATCCAGAGAATGTATTCAAAGATTAATACGTACTGTGATCTAAACAAGACTTATTCTTTTTCAGAACATATTTTGACAACATAGTCGCAATAGATTCTCTACTTGAACACATAATGGTAGGTTGCCTTTTGTTTTGAAAATGATTTTATTTAATCCTTAAGTTCTTGTTCCTATCATGCATTGTGACATTTTGTATTAGACAGCCCTTCTAAATATTAAGCAAATGTGGCACTTCATAACCCACTTGTAGCTGTTTGTCGCATCGGTTGAAATTTGGGGGTGGGGAGTGTTTGGGTAATGTTTCTAAAAAACATCTCAGCCTTTCTTTATGTAATACAGAGCCATACTTTGAAAAGACTTCTGGCTTCTCTTTATGCTTGCCAAAATACCTTTTCTGTATAGCTTACATTAGGGCTCCCCAGTTGGCACTTGTTGATCTTGAAGTTTATGCTGCTCTTAGTCTGAATTACTCCTCCCTCCCGGAAGGCAGGCAGGCACTGTGAGCTGAAAGCCCCATGAAGCTGAGTTCCAGCTGCATTCCACGTGTTACTGCTTTTGAGCTCCCTTCCAGTCGTCCTCGTGTGCACATGCTTGTGCCCCTGTGGATGGCACCATTTCTGCTCTGCTGCCTGCCTCTCATTCTCTACTCTGCTTCAAAATACGGCAGTCTTCTGCAGAAAGAGGTATCTTCCCTGAGGGGCCGTGCGACGCACTGACTCCTTCCCTGTGAAATTGCACAGAGGTGTAGCGGTGACACTGCTGCAGAGACAGAGCATTTCTTAAGAACAATCACACTGGCATCAGGGCTCTTAATTTCACACACTCTTTACGTGACCAGTTATCTGGATGTTCTTGTCCAGAGAAAATGCAAATTTCGCGGATTACAGCAAAATTTAAGGAATTTGTAAAGTACCACACTACATCCTGGTTTTTGAATATTTCTTATTCTTTCAGACATTTAAAATGCATGAAAAGTCTAAAAAGGAGTCTTTCATAAAGATTAACCTCTCCTTTTTAATAAAAAGTCTCATAAATGCTAAAAAAAGAACATAAAAAGAAAGAATATAGAAAACTTCATGTGGCATGGCATAGAACTTATCCTAGGGGTACAAGAGGTACTTAGTGATCAGTCCTTCATTACTGATATCATCTTCCTAAAGTAGCTTTCTGAGATACAGTTCACATACAATAGAACTCATCCACCTAAAGCCTTCAGGAGGAAATTGTGTCTACCACCCAGTGTTGAACCATTCTCACATTCCTGGTGTAAAGCCTGCTCAGCGGTAATACATTTGTAACTCCTGGATTGGTTGTTACTAGTTATTTTCAACTTTTGCATCTGTGTATACAAGTAGGGTTGTTGACTAGTTTTCTTTAAGGGTTGTTATAAGTCATTTGTAAAATGATTTGGGTCCTAGTAGGGTGTAGCACTGATTCTGATTTCAGCTTATCTATGGCATCTGTCTCTCCAGGCTTTCATTTACCCATTTCTGCTATGATGTTTCTTGAGTATCTGTTCTCTTCCTCTACTAGTTGGTAGCTGGGCTGATAAAATGGCCAGCAGACCCTGATTGTCTTCATTGCACTTACAGTCTAGTGGGGAAGACAGATGGCGGTCAAATATCCACATGAGTGTAAAATTGTTGTCACCTTCAGGGCTGAGAAGGAAAGAGAACTCATGATCGGGAGATGTGGCCTTATCTGGGGGGGGAGAGGGGGACTTTGGCAGGCTTTCCTGAGGCCCTCACTCACATCTGAGGACAGGGGGAGGTGATGAAGCAAAGTAGGTAGGAGTGACCTCCAGGAAAGGGCAGTGGTCTGTACCTGTTTAGAAAGGTCCCTGGACAGACAGGCACCCAGGCCTGGAGGCAGTGTTGACTTTTAAGTCTGAGAGCACAAGGTCAGATCTGTGGTTTTGGAGAGATAGCCCTGACATAGAGGAGACCCAGGGAAATGTGGTTAGAGTGTTTGAAAGGCTTTTTAATTGTGGAGATAACATTTCTTATTTCCAGAAGAGAAAATATGAGTTATCTATAAATTCCTAGGTGACTTTTCTTCTAATTGAGGATTTCTCAATGGGGCGATATTGACATTTCTCTGAAGCAGTTCATCCTTAACGGAACTTTCCCCAAGCACTGAAGATGGCAATGTCCTCAGCCCCTGAGAATTAAGGGACAAGAGCAGCTTTTCACCTGCTTCTCACAACACAGATGCCGCTGCTTGTCTTGTGAGGCTCCTGGCCACCTGTTTTCAGCTGCTAGAGGAGCACCAGCAAATTAGACTTTCAGATTAGCTTTGTACATTTTAAGTACTGTATATATTTTCTTTTTAAGGGCAGACATCAGTTATTACATCAGCTTGAGAGGATAAAGGGGAATTACAGGTTTACATTACTGATGAGCCCTAGATGGTCCAGACTTTTGTCATCACTCAAGTTACATTTCCAGGCCCACGTCTGACTCTGTTTCTCCATTCAGCTTACTTCTGGTAACCTTATTTCTCAAGCTGTCCTTCCCCACAGGATGGCAGTGGTAGTCCAGCCAGCTCAAAGCTTATGTTTAAAACAAAGTTTTCCATCGCCATCAATAAACCATCATTGTCTGTGTCCTGTCACCCCCTTCTCAAACAAGATGAAAAATTACTACTGTTTCTTCCTTCTTTTTTGCCTTTCTAATCTCCCTTGCATAGTTTCTGGATATGTGAATATACACACAGAAACATACACTAATACATATGTATTAGGTATGAATTTTAAATTATATGTTTATATTTTAGACATACTTTATTAGATATTATTTACGAAGCACTTTTACAGGTTCATTATAATTTTGGCAATTTCTTTGCTCATCACTCTTCTTGGACCCCAAGTCTCCCCATGCTTCCTTAGCTGCATTAGTCTGTTTTAACTATTTCTGTTTGAGGACATCTCTCTCCAGCATAGTGATAGTTAGTAATTCCCTGAATACTGTACACTTCTGAAATATCTTTATTTTGCCTTTATTCTTGAATTCTAGTTTGGCTTGGTAACAGGTGATACCAAAATATGCTACGTATTTCTTTAATTCCTTGCTGGTATATGAGGCTCATTTCAAACTGAGAACTTACTATCTGGGGTGAGTAGAAAAACAAATGTATCTGTAGAGTAACTCATCTTAAAACAGAAGCCTTTCTCACTACCGCTGGTTGTTTTTGGTTGATTTAATAATATTTTTTGATACATGCATTATTATCAGCAAACAATAAAACTTTTATCTGTTCACATATGTAAAGTTCACATGTCTTTTTCTTGCCTAATTGTATGTTAATAATTTTATCTTTGACCTGCGCTTAATTTTATTTTCATAATGTAAGGAATGATTCTGATGCTGTATTCCATTTTATTAGTTTTAATCAAGAAGATTGCTAATTGTATCATATGCCTTTGACAACCAGGAAGCTCCTCATAGAGACTGTTCTCCTGTGTCCTTTATTTCTATAATAAATTATAATACACTTTATGAGAATGAACAGTTCTGAATAAAATTCCTTTTTAATACAGTATTTGTTAACTTGATTAATTTGTTGCTATTTTATTTCTAATTTTTCTTCTGTTTTATCTATGATTTTCCTTTTTTATAGTGGCTTTGTCATTTTTCAGCATCACTGATAGAGCAGGGATTACAAAATAAGTAGAAAAATTGTGTTCATTTCTGAATTTAAAAGTTTAAATTTATGGGAATTTGTTGAAGAGTTTTAAAGAATTTATATTTGAACCTGTGGCCCTAGGGTCTTTCATAGGGATGAATTTTCTAATAATTTTTAATTATCTTTATGATTCTAGTTTGATTCGTATTTTTCAACCCTTCTAAATTAATTTCTTTCATTTTTCTGGACAATTATCCATCTCACCCAGATTTGTACAATTATTAATGCATTGTGCTAAAATATTTATAAAGCAGCAAACAAGACCCTTGGCAGTAGGCATGGCAGTTTTGCTGAGCACAACTTAATTTTTCATAGTATGGGATCCCTGTTGTTACTGACTAATTCAAGGTCTCATGAGTTTGTAAAATAAACCACCAATTCTTCCCTATTCACTAACAACCTGTCCCGTCACTCTCTCCCTACTTTTATACCATTTATCCTTCCTACAGTACAGGTTTTAGTTTTGGAGACCTTATCTTTGCACTAAGCTGGGGCTGGCAAACTTTGTGAAAAGAGCACTTGGTGAAGTTGTGTGTTCTGTGGGCCACACACTCTCCCAGTGGCTCAACTGTGCAGCCGTAGTAGCCACCAACAATCTAGCCAGCAATGAACGTGGCTGTGTCTAGTAGAGCAAGGCAATGGGCGGGTTTACTTAACTGTCTTCTTCTGGGCACTTGAAATGCTGTGGGAGAAAGAAGCAGCAGTTGCTGTCACAGAGCTTATGGCCCGTGGTTGCCATGGTGGGAAGAAGTGAAATGGAAGTCCTATTGCCCTTGTACCTGGGACACTGTGTGCCTACGTCATAGGCACAGCTGTGACTATTGGGTATCTGAGCGCAGTTTGATTCAGCAACAAGTACACATGTCATATGTGGATGAGGAGGGCACTTAGCCTTTTCTGGTTTATTTCTGTTATATCTATGAATTAGTTTCACATGAGACTTCACATTTTCCTCTGATCATAAGGTGACTCACACTCTTCTTGCATAGTTTGTGATGGCTGTTTTCCTCTGAGCATTAATCCTTTTCCTGTGAGGAGTACTTTCGTGGCTGTGGTCTGGTGTTTGACGTTACCAGGATTCTCAGCATCTGTACATATGTATTGTATTTATGACACACTGAGGACCGTTGGATATGTGAGGCATGGATGAAATAGCTGTTGGAGGACATGGATAAAGAACTGAGTGATGAAATGAATACATAACCTGCCATTTAGAAATGGAATGGGCTCTTTGTTACAAAAGTGTGGGTTGCGGGAACAGCTAGTGGAACGCCAGGGAACGCTGGGGTTATGTCCACCACTTACCAGCCACGTAGTGTTGAGGTGAGTCGGCTTACTTCTCAGTGCCTCAGTCTTCCTACCACTTGAAATAGGAGGACTTGCTATTGTAGTCGTGAGGATTTAAGGCACATATAGTGATAGATTTTACAATCGTATTCATAGACAGTGCTGACCTCCCTGACCAAAGCTCAGATCCAGGCTCCAGGAGAGGACTGTGAGAAGAGTGCAGGCCATTAACTGCTTACAACCAATATGAAAGTGTTTTAGTTTCAACATCCACTGGCTGTAGAACCAGCTGTTTATTTGTTCTTGCTGGTGTCTGCTGGTCTTAGCGCTTAACAGTGACATACTTACCACATGTCATATTTTGTACGTACATATTTATTTGTTATAATGCTAATTCTCTGCCTGATTGGTTACACAGTAGCTGAAATTAACACTTAGCCTAGGCGTCTTTGTGGACTCTTGAGTTTCTCACTGCTCACTCTCGTCTTTCCATTTGTCTTTAGATATATGCAAAGAACCTGGTGAATGCCGACCGTTGTGCGCTCTTCCAGGTGGACCATAAGAACAAGGAGCTATATTCGGACCTTTTTGACATTGGAGAGGAGAAGGAAGGGAAACCTGTCTTCAAGAAGACCAAAGAGATAAGGTACAGCTGGAGTGGAATGTCCTAGGCTCTGATCACAGATGCGCAGGTGTTCTGTTACCCACTTTTCTGTGCCTATCCGCAGGTATGCTGACAATGCTTGTCATACTGTGATGTCATTCCCACCAGGACCCGCCTCCTGAAGGTAGTGCTTCTGGGACTGACATTGCAGTGCCAGCGAAACCGCGCCTAGGAAGCTTTAGCGTCACTCCTGGAAATGCCGTCTTCCGGAGGCGGTCCTTTTGGAAATCATGTTGGAAAAACTTACTAGTGCTCCCAGGTAGGTAAAGGTGTGCTCCACCTGGAGTCTGCAGGTTGTCCCATGTTTAGGAGCAAGGGTGAACTTAACCAGTTTGGCCCTGCCTCTGCCCAGCCTGCGGGCCGTCTCGCGTCCAGCCGAGGACTGGATCTGGTGCACTGAGGACTGAGGCACTTCCTGTAACTGACTAGTGAGCTGGTAACATGCACGTGTGCTGTGTTTTGAAACGAAAGCCTTCTTTGCTCTTAAAGTGGCAGCTATTGTCACTGAAAAGGACAGATGGCATTCATTTTTTGGTGGAGGCTAGGGGCTCAGTCCTGTCACAACATGGAAACCTGCAAGGAGCACTGTCCCACCCAGGCTTCAGGGTCAAGCTTAGTCTGCACATACTGAAAGTCCTCCTAAGCGCTTGCTTTCCTTTGACTTTGTGTGTCTTCCTTAACTACCCTTCTCCATAGCGCTGACGTTCTCTAGTAATTAACAATTGTTCACTTGGGCTGTCTATCATGGAATGGACCCACCTGTGGAAAAGTGTGGCCAGCTGCAGGTGTCATCATCTGCCACAGGGAACTTCCAGTTGTTTCTAGGGAGATCGATCCTGCATTCCATAGTCACATGACTGAATTATAGGCACTATATAAGTGTTCGGGGTTTTAAATTTTTTGTCTCATTCGTGTTTGTCATTTAGACCTAAGTGTGTCAATCTGTGCCTGGTCTCTTAAAGTCATTTCTCTTGCTTAAGGTTTCAGGGCTTCGTGACACTTCTGGTATTGATCTGATTGATCTGACTTTGAAAACATAACGTAAAGCGTGTATTGACAAGCATAGGGAAAACGGTGACGGGAATGTGGTTACTGTAATGTTAAGAGGAGTGGTTGGTGGGCTTCCACTCAGACAGCAAAGCACAGACAGCATGAGCAAAGGTTCAGTCAGAAAGCTCTTGGACCAAGACAGACACACATACATGAATGACACATGGATGGATTCTGACACCCTGCTCATGGCAGTCCAGTTTGCTGTGTTCATGCTGTTTGAAGCACACAAAAACCAGGAAGATGACAACCTTGAGTTTTATTCAGTGCTTGGTTAACTTTCTGATGTTTTAATTCTCTTTGGAGTTTTCTTGATAATCCTTAGGGTAAAGCCTTACTTCAGTAATGATTGTTTCATATAATGTTGAAAATATAATGCTATGACAATTATTTTGAACTAAAAAATCATGGATATTTGAGTTGTGGCCTTCTTTATTAACTAAATTTTGGAATAATGAGTGTATGTATGATGATAATATAACAATGAGAAAAATATTTATAAATGTGAGAATATATTTATAAAAGAAATGCTGGTGTTAAATATTCAAGATATAACTAAATATAATCAGTTAATTCTTATCTTTGGATTATTTTAACATTGAACAAATAAAAGAAGAAAATTACTTCTGCACTATTTCTCTATAGTGCTTGAGTTGCAAACAATATGAAATTCAAGTTCCATTCAGCTCAAGGTGCAGACATAGCCTGTGAGTTTGGTCATAGGTGTGGTTGAAGCACACTGCTATGCCCCTGTTCTGGTTTTGATTGTGTCAGTGTATTTTGAGAATGTTGGCAAGTTAATGAACCTGAGTAGATCTCAGCTTACGCCTCACTGAGACTCACTCAGAATACTCACGGTGAAGCATGTTGTCAGTTCTGGGGTACTTTGCCATATAAGGAGTTATTGGTCAGTGCTGGAGATCCCCAGGTTAACCTTTCATTTCATGATCCAGTTATACTCCACCATACTGTGGAGTATTTCTTAAAATGAAGCTCACAAATGACCACTGTGTGATGTTTTTCTTTTCACATATCTTCTAAGACAATTTAGGATATGTAAGTGTAAAACTAATGTGTGCATTTAAAATAAATAATAAGACTTTAGTTCAATATTTGGTCACAATAAATGTTTCAGAATTATTCTACAGCATCAATGATTTAATTAGCATGTCCCTCTCTTTTATGTATGCAGATTTTCAATTGAGAAAGGAATTGCTGGCCAAGTAGCAAGAACAGGGGAAGTCCTGAACATTCCAGACGCCTACGCAGATCCACGCTTCAATAGGTGAGAGACAGCACAAGCCTCCCTCAGTCTCTCCTTGAGCACACACTCTTGACATCTCCTCTAGGGGCCCCAGCTCTCCAGTTCCCAGCTCCCGGTTATGCCCTGCGTGGTTTTCTTCTGTGAGCCAGCTCTGTTTTCAGCAGCAGTGCACGTGGATATTTATAAAACGATGACTTCCAAGTTGTTCATAAGAAAGCTCTCCAGCTGTTGGTGTCACGACAGCTGAGAGGCGGGAGTTTCCATCTATGGCACTGTGTGCTTCTCTTCACTGGTGTGTCGTTACTTGTTTGCCACATTCTCTGTCACATCCTCTGCAGCACAGAGTGATCAAATGGCGCACTGTGAGGTCTGGGTTTGAATTACAGTTCTGCCATTCATTAGCTCTGGGGAGGACCGGGGTGAGGTGCTCACCTCCCTTAGCCTCAGTTTCCTCATCTGCTCAATAAAGAAACAATGCCAGCTCTCTAGTCTTTTTTTTTTTTAATATCACAGGTAATGATCATAAAAGGTCTGGAAACTTTTCCTGACACAAAATAGAAACCCAATCAGCCACAGCTGTTATTGGGTGCCATTGAAGTTGGTTATAAAGATCTTTGTTTCATTTTGACTTTCTTTGGAGAACTAGAAGCCAAGTTATAAAATCTGGTTTTATTAAAACTCTAGAAACTAAAATCTGTAAGATGAATGCAGTGTTTTGTACATTTGACAGCAGTGTTTAGGTAATAAATACATTTGGTTTACTTTAAGAGATAAGTGATCAACCACATTCAAGTTTTAGGATCACTGTAGAGGAGCATATAAAATAATCTTAAACTAACAGAGGCCACTATGGGAAGGTGACTGGTAGTGGAGAGGTCTGACAGAGATGAACCAATGTGGGTTGCAACACACAAGTGCATGGAAGCAACACTAGGACTCTCTCTGTATAGCTATCTTTATCACAAACTAGAAAAAATGCCATGTCTTTCTTATTATCTCTTATATTTCTCTTCAACAAAAATCAGAAAACAGGAGCACAGAACAGGTTCTGCCTAGAAGCCAGGGACACACACACACACACACACACACACACACACACACGATGTATATATGTGAGTAAATGTAAAAATGATGAAATAAAAATAGGCAAACAAATAAATATATATACTTGAGATAAGGAGAAAAAAGAGATAAATGATGTAAGCAAATGGACATTTTTCATGAAATTAATTGATGGTAAATATGCATAATGCACATTGTAGCACAGCTATATTGTAGTACTATATTTTATCAGTAAATTTGAGTAATTCTTTTTTGAGTATACTAAAAAAAAATATTTTTGAGTATTCTAAAAATCTTAATCTTTCCAACAAACAGACTTGTCACTTCATTGCTTAAATATTAAAAATATTTGTATATCCTTATATAAAATTTTAATGTAAAAATGTATGAGTCAAACTGCCAAAATGAAAAGGCAACCAGTAAATTGGAAGAAAATACATTATATGTGATAAAATATTTATACCTAGATTATACAAAACACTCTTCCAATGTAATAAGACAGTCCAGTTTGAAGGGCAGAAGATTTTAACAGATACTCACTACAGAAAATATACATATGGTCATAAACACATGGTAAGTGAACAAGGTGGATGTAACTCTGGCAGTGGGATTCCACTGTACAACATGAATGGCTGGATTTTCAAAGTTGGTATCAACAAGGATCAGCAAGGATGCACAGCCTGGGCCCTACCTACCTTGCTGCTTGCTTATGGGATGGACAGTGTTGTAGCCCATTGGGTAAATACCTGTGCAGTGTCTTAGAAAGGTAACACTTTCTGTGTGATCCAGATCCACTCCTAGCTATTACCCCAAGAAAAATGAAAACATGTCAGCACAAAGACTTGTATACAAATCTTTAAAGCAGTTTTACTCATCATAGTCAGCAACTGGCTGTTATAAAATAATATTGTCTGTTAACTGGTGCATGGATAAACAAGATGTGATTTGTCCATTCCATAGAAGCTTTTACTCAGCAGTAACAAAGACAACAGCTGATACATGCAGCAGGGTTGTCACATCTCAAGAACGTTGCGCCGAATGAGGGAAGCCAGTCAATTCCCATGGGATGGTTACATGGCCATTTTGCTGGAATCAGTCCCATTTCCATCAGAAGTCAGCAAACCCTTTTCTGTGAAGGACCAGGAAGGTATAGTTTTAGTTCTACAAGCCACACGATCATCGTGACACGTTGCGCAAATGAATGGTATGGCTATGTTCCATTAAAAATCTCATTTTTATAAAATAGGAGTGGGCTGGTTTGGCCCACAGAGTGTAGTTTGCTGACCCCTGCTCTATAGTTTAAAGTAAAACTCCCACTCACATTGATTTAGCAAGTTTTACATCTCGTAAATATGGCCAAGTTCAAAGCAATACACCATTTTACCAAATTTATTGTGGTTTTCCTCTGAATCCGCTATTTACATAGTGATGCTAGGTACTGAAAACCCAAAAATGAGCTGTAAGCCTTCAAAAACTCTGTCCTAGAAAACTCTGCTGAGGAAAAAGAACAAACACATTAGAATATTTTTGCAAAATTCTTGTAGTACAGTACCAAACACTGGCAGTGGCACTCTGGCTATTTGTATACAGCACGTAGGTTGGGCTTTATGCTGGAGCTGTCCTTTGTTCCCGTCCACTGCGCTCTTCATGTTGGATGCTTGTCCTTCTTCATCCCCACAGGGAAGTGGACTTGTACACGGGCTACACCACGCGAAACATCCTCTGCATGCCCATCGTGAGCCGAGGCAGTGTGATCGGCGTGGTGCAGATGGTGAACAAGGTCACCGGCAGCGCCTTCTCCAAGACGGACGAGAACAACTTCAAGATGTTTGCTGTCTTCTGTGCTCTGGCCCTGCACTGTGCGAACGTAAGTGCACCTTCTAACCAGCCCTGCTCCCCGGTGCCAACCTGCGGCCTCCCAAAGTCACTCCAGGTGCTCTTCCATTTACATTCTCTTTGCAGACTGGAAACAGTCATTCCTGGTTGTGCATATTTTAGAAAATTCCTTAAGATGTCTTGGAAGAAAAAAAGCCTCTTGATACTTTGCATTTATTTCAAGGTGTGAGTTTGTTAAAAAGAAGAGTTAAATTAATGTTCATGGAAAAACTTTAAGCATCAGGTTTATAATTCATTTCAGTTCACCAACTGAAATGAATAAAGAAAATGTTGTCTCAGCCCAGAGGTTTGTCATACACCCTGTATTTTTGAGTCTTACACAAAATAATAGCAACAACTCCTGTTTTCACACTGACTAACCAGGGGAGCTTTGCTTGTGAGGAGCAGTGGGACGGAGTGTGAGCCCATTTACTCCTCATGGTCCTCTTGCCCTGCTCACTGAAGAAAAACCAGGCTCAGTTTATATCCTGAGGTCTTGCCTTAAAATAGTGGAATTTATGATCTTTATCTTATGTCATTACATTTTTTAAGGAATTGAGCGTTTGCCATTCTGTAAACTTTAGTAGTCCCTTAATGCTATCAGTGGAATTCTGGAATTAGAGAAAATTCTATAACATTTTTATAATGCCAAACCAACAGAAATGGGAGTTGCCACCTAATAATTTAGAGAAACTGTTATTTGGGAATAGGACTGAGTTCTGTAGCCAGTGGATCAGCTGAGAAATAGCTAGAACTGAAAAGGAAAAGAAAAAAGCACTTTTAATCAAGCCCGCACTGTTTAAAAAGAGTGGCCATCCTCTCTGCATGAATAACGGCACCTGGTTATGGGACATTAATCATTAATTACCTCACCAGAAATAAGCCACTGTGATCCTAAACAACTGGCTTTAAGCATTTTCAGTATCTATGTGTTGCCCATAAACAAAATGTGGACAGCTTAGGTTTGTTTTATTTAGTTTACAAGTTGCCAAGAGTGTAATTCTTAGTATATTCTGAATATTGCTTACCATTTTTAATGGAACCTAGGCACTAAAGTTAGTCAGTGCTTGTTACTGTCCTTTACAAAATACAGTAGTAAGATCTTATGATTGCAAATTTTAGTTTTTTCCCTTTGAATATGTATTTGTACTATTTTACAAAAGTTTATTTTAGTAGAGTTGATGCTTTAAAGAGTTTTTGTTTGTTACCCTAAGCCAGTAGTCTAAAGAAACTTGTAGATATTAAACATTCATTATGGATTGTTGTGGTAGTACATGTAAATGAATCCTCTTAAAACTCTGTCCGTCCATGTGTACTTTGGAGAATAAACAAATGCCACTTTGAACACAACTGTGTTAGTTGGTAAACTAGAGGAACAGTTTCAAAAGCTTTTCATCCTGATTGTTATATCATAAAACCTAGATTCAAGCATGACTAAAACCCAAAGAGAAAAAATAACGCTGTGTTTTGCACATTTGCAGGTGTTCTGTTTTTTCATCATTACTTAGGTATATTATTTAGGGTACAATTTTAGTTAAATGATTGGAATTGGTGTGTATTGGTGATGGCTGTGACTCTCTAAACACTGTTGCTGCACCTTAGCAACCATGCTGTGCAGCTGCAGGTGGCGGACAGACACCTCAGCAGGTGCCGCTGTCACCAGCTCTCCAGGGCCAGGCCAGTGATGTTGCCTTTAAGTGCATGTTGAAGATACGTGCAAAGCAGCTTCCAGCACTCTGTGAAATTTGTTACCATTTTATCTATGCAACAGTTTTTCCTTACAAGAATCATATTTCTGAAGGCTTTCCCAAATCAGAAAGAGTGAAAGACTCCTGAACCTATAGGTTTGGGGTGGCTTGTTTCCCCTGCTGAGCCTCCCTGGCCTCTAGTTTCTTGATCAGATCATGTCTTAATAGGGCCATGTTAATACACTTGAAATTGCTTCTTAGTGCCTGGCATGAGAACATGGTGGCATGTTTTATTGTTGGTCTTGTATGACCGAGAGGTCCACGAGGCAGGCCACGAGGGCCATGTCCACCATCATATGTCTTTAGCTTTCTTTGGACACACTAGACTGCATCCCTTTGGCTGAATTGAACAGGCAGGTCTCTGGTGGCAGCACTCCATGTCATTTACTGAGTTAACTGATCTTTGGAAGTATTATCAGTAAAAATAATTTAGAAAGAAAAATAATTTTGAAACTTAAAGAGTCAGTTTACTCATACACAACATGGTTTTTAAAGAAACATTTGATATGATGCAGAAAGCTAACAAAATAGGAATTTCTGTTACATCTTTGGCCTGGAAAAAGGAGTCTTTCAGAACAGTTAGCTCTGACATTGGGATGGGACGATATCTAACATGAAAGAGGCTTGGAAAAAACACTTTTCAAATGAGATTATCTGGCCATGGGTATATATATTTAATAAGTAGTTCAGTCTTTATTCATTCTTGAATGTAGCAAGCAAGTGCTGAGCTCTATAACAGATGCTCGATGTAAAGGGTACTAGCATAAGGATAGCTCATATTTGATAATAACCTTTTACTTTATAGCAGGAATTGTTCTGAACACTTGACACATAAAAGCTCAGGGTCACAACAGTCCCATAGTGAGGTAGCTCCACTTTCATTAGCAAAAATGGACACTGACTTTAAATAACGTGCCAACGTTGCCTATCAAGTGACAGAGCACTGTTTGAGTGTAGACTGGGCCCAGAACTCCCAAGTGTACTGCCTTTCATTTTACATTGCTTTTTCTCCTATAGCTGCTTATAGGTAGACAAGTAGAAGTGTTTTTAAGTGTCATATGTAAAATACAGAGTAGGTGGCACTTAACAGTGTGTATTTAGTCAGGGTTCTTCAAAGAGGGACTGATGAGGATTACAGACTGATAGATACATGTGAGGGGGTTTATTAGGGGATAGGTTCATGTGTCCCATGACAGTTCTGAGGCTGAAAAACTGGAGTTTTGATGTGCAACAGCAGGAGAAGGGGGCCCTGGCTCCAGGAGAGAGAATTCACCTTTCCTCTGCCTTTTATTCTGGCCAGGCCTCCACCTGTTGCGTGGTGCCTGCTCACACTGCACTAGGGTGAGTCCTCCTCATTCAGTCCACTGAGTCCAGTGCCATTGTCCTCGGAAACACCTCACAACCACTCCCAGAATCAGTGCCTCAGTGTTTTGTCAGCTCTCTCGTACCCCTTCACTCATGTCAACACTTAAAATTAATCATATGGTGATTTTTCCAGAAATGGCAGAAAAGTTCAGAACGAATCTTCCTAGATAAGATATCATAGAAGACAGCAAAGATAGGGTTGCTAGTGCAGTTTGGAATAGCTGGAAAGTCTGACTCAGGCTGTACTTTGAGGAAGAATGTTGTAAGTTAAACTTGTAATTCTGCGTGATGATATGACTGTTGAGTGGACACCTGCGTATTGCTTATACCTACCAAAAGTCTTCCCAGGAGTACCTAAAATATGTCATATTTGGTAATGAACTGAGTGACAAAGCTGTCTTCTAGGACCTGTCTCCCTCCTTGTTAGCAGTAATACGGTAACACATAATGTCTTTAATACCCAAGCTATTAGTGAATAACAGTTCTTAAACCAAACCTTCTGAGAAACATGAAAAATAAAAGTTTATGTCTCTAAGGTCAATCAAATTCAATTTTTTTCAGCTATAAGCCTATGAAGTTGCTAACAGTTATGATCAGTTATTCACTTCATGAATAGTAATGAGCACTTACACCTGTGAGGTATGTGGTAGATACAGATTAAGAAACAATGGACCCTTAACCCAGGAGACTTCCTGTCCTATGTTTATATGTAGACATTTTTAAAAAGTCATTGGCACTGAATGCCAGGACTATTTTCCTTCTTTGGTTATTTTAAAAGTGTCATTTTCAAAAGCGCCTGCTCTGCAGGAACTCAACATGTCCCTCCACTCTGAGTCCCCCCTTTGCCCTCCTGGGCCATTCCCGTATCAGTGGGTGCTGGGACTCACCCCAAACACATCCTCACAACCAGGCAGCTGTGTAGGTTAACACCTCCCCTATTACTTCAAAAGTTTTTGACCTTAGACAAATTATGTCCTGGAACCCCAGGCTCCTGTCAATAGGACTATAGAAGGTAAGGTGAAGAAGGTTGCAGTACAGCACCTAGTCAGTGAAGACACATTCTCTTTGCTTCTTACTCCATTTAACTCTGATATCATATTTTGTAAATGTTTGTCACCCCAATTTTATAAAATTCCAATTCATTGCTATGTGTGTTGTTACTTTCCCATTTCCACAGGCTTTTCATTAAGATTGGGGTTTTCCTCATTGATTTATGGGACAATCTCTTAGAAAGGGACCATTGATGCCTATCCTAAGATCAAACTGCCAGTTAACAGATGAGAAGTAACTCTCACTTCAGGATGTCCCCATTTTCCATGGAAGTAAGTGTGCTTCCAGCTCACATCAGGAAGGTCATTTTCTTATGCTTTGCTTTCTCCTAAATGCAAATGTCTCTTTTTCAGTAGAAGCATGATGATACACTCAAACTTTTTTTTCTCCTGTTGGTTTCAAAGCAAGGGAAGGGTTTGGAGAAAACTACACTGTCATATTTGTGCTTTGCAAACTTCAGCTGGAAAGAGCTTTCTCTTGTATGGATGGAGGTGGCTTGAGAGGGAGAATTTGAATTCTTCAGAACTAGGCCAAAGATATAGCTCTACTATAATAACAAAATAACAAAATAACAAAAGCAAAATGGACTGGAGGTGTGGCTCAAGTGATGGAGCTCTTGCTTTGTAAGTGTGAAACCCTGAGTTCAAACCCCAGACCACCAAAAATAAAATAAAAGACAAAGTGACTTCTTTTACCTGGGTACTGTGGTCATGTTCCATAAACTAGAACCGCTGTGCAGTCACAGGAGGTCATAGGTCAAAGTGCATCTATAACAACATGTTCTTAACAGGTGCCCTCATCTCGCAGTCCTTAGGGCTACTGGTCTGTC